TTTTTTTAATGTTAGAATTATGATTAATGCGTTAGTTCACTCCGTGAGTCTAGTGTTTATTTTCGGTCTCGATTGGGATTGCCTTACGCATTTGTTGTTGACAGATCTATTGCCCCATTCCGTGTGCCTTTCGTAGGTTTTAAAGATATCCCAATAAACACTTTAACGGTACCTATCACCACCAACATTGCCCGTGTAAGAATTTTTAATACTTTTTAATACAAGTTTGCAATGATAGTAATTAAAAACAAAACAATTGTTTACAGAGTAAAATATGTTCTTAACATAATCATATTTTAAAGTTATTTTAACATTTTCAAGTAAATAAATGAATAACGGGCAATGTTAATGGTGACAAATAACGGAAAATGTTTGCTGGGATCTGCCGTATTTAAATTGCAGATTTGTATCAGGTCATGCATATTCTCAAAGTAACTTATCAGCTTTTTTTTTGCGGATGGCCACCTCCCCTCTTGCTTGACCTCCCCTGTCCGTCCAGTGAAAAGCCTCCAATGACAGGTGGCACTTAAGTCATTCATATCACTCAACACTTCACTCCTCAATGACCGTTACACCATTTTAGTTTGCACTCTATGAAAATGTCTGTTTCACTTATTAGTTTGCACTTTTTTTATAATTATTGTTGGTTTTATCTTTAAACTCTTACGCTTCAAGAGCTTACCCGCACGCGACGTGTCTTCTGAAGCGCTGGAACCGAACTGAACGTTCAAACCATCAAAATAGTAATTTTAAAAATTATTAAATCATTATTTATTTATTTTTTTAAGTATTTAATTCTTACCTATTTTGTCATTTTAAAAAGAATTAAATCATTATTTTGACTTAAGTCATTTTAAAAAGATTTAAATCATTTTTAGACTTAAGTCATTTTAAAAAGATTTAAATCATTTTTAGACTTAAGTCATTTTAAAAAGACTTAAGTCATTTTTTTGTTTTAAGTCATTTTAAAAAGACTTAAGTCCTTACGCAAATGTAGAAAAAGCTTAATAATACAAATCATTTTGAAAATGACTTAAGTCTTAAGTCTCAAGTCGTCCAAAAAAAAAGAGACTTAAATCAAATGACTTAAGTCACAAAAATGACTTAAGTTAAAAAAAAGACTTAAGCTTTCTGCTGTCTGACAGCTCTGGTGGTTACTAAAGGCAGTTTTACATTTTGAAATCAACTGAATGACAGGTCGTTCAAAATTTTTTGGCCGTTATAAATTTAAGTTAAATTATTTGACGTTATAGGGTCAGAATTTCTCAAACGGGCCACCTGAATTAGGTCAAAATTAGTTTTTGATTGTAGATACATTTTTTCGATAGTATTTTACATCACTAACACAAATCCAAAAGGATTTTGTAAAAAAAAAATTTCAATTGACATATTCATATTAAAAGTAAAAGTTTTTAGTAATTAAAAAATAAAAAAAATCATTATGGCTAAACTAATTATCCGATTCCAACGATATAACTAGCGTTGGAATCTTGTTTTGACATAGATTCTTTGTTATTTTTTTCAATTGTACAATTTTCATTTAGGTCGATTTTTTTTTGTTTTTTTATAACAAATTCGGAAATAATTGGCTTCTGCGCCAGCTATCTACTCGAAAAAAAAAAACACATATACTCCAATCATTTTTCGAAAATATGCTGCTGAGAAAAAAAATGGCCCGCAGGTTGACAAAAAGTTATTCGTCCTTTAGTGGCCGCGCGCGGTGTCAGCTCACGCTCCGAACCGTGTATGCTGTACGCGCTTGCGACGGGACGTCTTTCGGTGGTCTGGAATGGTTCTTTTCTAATCAAAATTAATTTGTGACCCTAATAATTGACTTGGAGCCTTGTTTTTTTGTATTTTATTTAGAAATAAATGAGCTTTATAGTATAAAGTTTATACTGATATAAACAAAAATAATTTGCCTTCATTATATTTTGTTTTATAAGGCGCCAAACTAAAAATTACATTTTTCTTGGTACTCACTTGTGGATTATCTGTCAAATTTTCTACTCCTTGATTTAGTTTGTAACTTTCTTTTAAAAACTAAAGTTATATTTTAATATCGTAATAATTTTCTTAAATTGACTAAATCGAAATATTTAATTTATTCTATATTTAGTTCGCTCACACAAAATAAGTAATAGGTATCTAATAATAAATTTTTATTTTACCACAAAGTGTTGGTTATAAAAAAATGTTAATATTTAAGTTTGGCGCCATTTAAAACAAAATATAATGCACATAAAATGTTTTTGTTTTTATCACAATAAACCCCATTTATTTTTTAATAAATCAACAACCAAAACAAGACTCTGAGATTATTAATACAGGCAAAATTTTTACCACAAGGCTTTACATTTATTTATAAGGGCAGAATAATTTTTTTAAATGTGTAATCAGAAAAATTTATTTTTTTGTAAAACATAATAAAATATAATGAGCGAAAATTATTTTTGTACACTTACGTGCAAAATAATCGATCCACACAAATTTTCGATGAATTTCAATCGCAAATAACTTTTTTATTTGATGTCGGATTTAAACTTATATTAAAGAATATTGTAGATAAATTAATGGACAATCGCTCACATTTTAAAAAAATACTAAAAAATAGACTTACGTTTATAATATACAGGTTTAAACAAAAAGATGTTTTTTACCATAAGTTTAAGACACTCTGTAGAGTGGCAAAACCGTATATTGTTCTAAATTAAGTTTTATTTATAAGTCACATCTATTCTTAACAGTTTTGTTTTTGGTTCACCTCGATATATTTATTTTTGTGGAAAATATGGATTTTTTTAAAAAACATTGCAATTTCCAATATTTTTCCTGTATGAAGAACTAAGGTTGTTATGGTCCATCCATAGCCTATGGAGAATGACAGTGACAATTTTGTTGAATCATCCCATACTTGGACATGTCATATACAGCTTTCAAAAGCTATCAAATTGTTTTTTGTAAATTAATGTGTTAATTTTGAGGTGTCTTCTTACTTTTAAAAATGTCTCCGACTGATGTTGCCCTTTGTACTTTACTTCTTATGACGTTTAAAACACTTGCCACGTAATACTATGACCGTCCATCCTGGATTAAATTAATAGCTCTGGCAACATCAGTCGGAGACATATCCATTTTATAAAGTAAGAAGACACCTCAAAATTTAAACATTAATTTGCAAAAAACAATTTGATACCTTTGGAAAGCCGTGTATGACATGTCCAAGTATGGGATGATTCAACAAAACTGTCACTGTCATTTTCCATAGCCTATGGATGACACCATAGCAACCTTAGTTCTTCATACAGAAAAATATTGGAAATTGCAATGTTTTTTTTTAAAAAATCATATTTTCCACAAAAATAAATATATCGAGGTGAACCAAAAACAAAACTGTTAAGAATAGATGTGACTTAATAAATAAAACTTAATTTAGAACAATATACAGTTTTGCCACTCTACAGAGTGTCTTAAACTTATGGTAAAAACATCTTTTTGTTTAAACCTGTATATTATAAACGTACGTCTATTTTTTAGTATTTTTTTAAAATGTAAGCGATTGTCCATAATTTATCTACAATATTCTTTAATATTTGTTTAAATCCGACATCAAATAAAAAAGTTATTTGCGATTGAAATTCATCGAAAATTTGTGTGGATCGATTATTTTGCACGTGAGTCTATATACCAATATAAAGCCTATTTATTTCTGAATTTAATACAAAAAAACAAGCTCTAAGTAAAATATTACGGTCACAAATTAATTTTGATTAGAAAAGTAGGTACCATTCCAGACCACCGTAAGACGTCGCGTCACAAGCGCGTACAGCGTACACGGTTCGGAGCGTGAGCGGCCACCGCGGTGCACCCACAAAAGGACGAATAACTTTTTGTCAACCTGCGGGCCATTTTTTTTCTCAGCAGCATAATTTCGAGAAATGATTGGAGTATATGTGTTTTTTTTTTCGAGTCGATATCTGGCGCAGAAGCCAATTATTTCCGAATTTGGTATAAAAAAAACAAAAAAAAATCGACCTAAATGAAAATTGGACAATTGAAAAAAATAACAAAGAATCTATGTCAAAACAAGATTCCAACGCTAGTTATATCGTTGGAATCGGATAATTAGTTCAGCCATAATGAATTTTTTTATTTTTTAATTATTAAAAACTTTGACTTTTAATATCATGAATATGTCAATTGAAAATTTTTTTTTTACAAAATCCTTTTGGATTTGTGTTAGTGATGTAAAATACTATCGAAAAAATGTATCTACAATCAAAAACTAATTTTGACCTAATTCAGGTGGCCCGTTTGAGAAATTCTGACCCTATAACAACATATAATTATACAACAATTATAACAACATACAATTACAATTATACATACAATTATAACAACATACAATTACTACAATTTTTTAAAAAACACTTTTAACGTAAAAACAATTATAATTAGGATAACTATTAATAATGCAATGATAAAAAGGAATTATAAGCTTTTGATCAAATAAAATATTGTTTTAAAACTTGGTAGCAATCACAATCCACATTGTGGATTGTGGTAGCAATCACCACGATGCAGGTATACTCACGAATGAACTGTTTAGAGCGGGAATGTCGCCTTGATAGATCAAGGCGGGAGCACAATATTATCGTAAGCGCCACAATGTTAAATCGCAAACGCCATGTCTCGGAGTTGCTTACGATTATTTTTCAGGAACATATAGGCGCTTACGTTATAAATCGGTAACAAATTAAAAAGAAGAGGCGCTTACAATAATAAAAATATTCAAACTGACCAATATTAGATTCCAAAATTGGAATAACTATTATGTTAACATGTGCAGCTTATCGTAACTGACACTTTGATAAAATAAAAAGTAATTCAACAAAATTGTCGCTTACGATGTTAATTTATATTAAATAAGCCAACAGTTAAAATCTCAGCTGTTTAAGTGAAATATAAGCGATAGAAATGACTAACTAAAACTTTTTTAGTTTTTATGAAAGCTTTCAATTTATGATGATGAGATTCCTATTCAATACTAAACGATATGCTACCACTCAAATTCTGAACGATTATTGGTGCGTCCCGAAACGAATTAAAACCGAAATGAGGAGACCAGCTAAAAGAAAACCAAAAAAACCGAAAAAACCGAAAAAAAAGAAAAAGAGTAAAAAAAGTAAGAAGAGCAAGAAAAGCAAAAAAAGTAAGAAGAGCAGCAAAAAGAGCAAAAGTAGCAAAAAGAGTAAGAGCAGTAAGAAGAGCAAAAAGAGTAAGGACAAGAAGAAAAAGCTTACGAAGGAAGAAAAGGAGGAGCTGGCGAGATTGAAAAGGGAACAAGAGGAGCTGGAGGAGAGAATGCGTTTGGAGGCTGAAAATAGGGTGTTCATGTTTCCTTTGGGTGACGCTACAACCGATGAGTTTTTTCAAAAAATCTTCCCCAACTGGACCAGACCGGTAGAGAAAAAGAAAAAGAAAAAAGGAAAGGGAAAGGGAAAAGGCAAAAGCAAGAAAGCAAAAAAGAAGTGAATAAACTTAATATTAAAATATGGTATACTTATTGTTTATTTATACATTAATATTAAATAAATACGATTATTATTTAAAAAATTTCATTTTATATCAAAGTTACATCACAAATTTCTATAATTTTCGTCCTGGTCATACCTAAAATTCACCAAGAAAAAACTTCTTCATAACAATTGAGGAGCATCCGTGCAAAACCGGCTAAATCCATTTTATTCAGTTTTTGTTTTTTTTTGATTTCGCATCTTTGGGTTCATTTCTATCGACAACCAAGAGAATTCTGTTTAAATCCGACTATATCCATGTTAAAATCACATTTAAAAGGTAGGTTTAGGAGCAAAACCGGCCAAATCCACGTTTTTATAGCAAACCCGGCTATATCCAATAAATAATAATATGTGGCTTGGATACACAGAGAAAAAAGATGTTTTAATTCAAACAAAAATGTTTGTTTAATTTTATTTATTACATTTAAAAAAATATAAATTTAATTCAAAAACATTTCTTTAAAAAGAATAATTGTCTTTATTTAAAAGGAAAAAGCGAATTTATTAAAATATATATTTAAAACAAAGTACCTGACTTTTATTTCAAAATTGCACTTATTCTGTTTAAATAAAAGTTGACTTTCTTAAATTATAAAAACAATTTACTTGTTTTAAAAAATTAAAAAGTTTAAATTAAACAACAAATATTATTTTTTTAAAAACATGGTTTAATTAATATAATTAATATAATTTTGATTTAATTCAAAAAAATTAATTATTTAAAATAAACAAATTATTATTTAAATACAAAAAAATTGTAATTTGATTTAAAGCAGAGGTTTATTTAAACTTTTTTGCTCACGTCGAAGTAGCATGACTTGCTTCCTATTGGTTGCTGTAAATCAGGCGACTGCAGACACCCAATGGGCTTTCCATTTTGTATGTACGTGATTTTAGAGACTCCAATTTAGAGCAGAGTGTTGATGAGAAGTGTTGTGTGGCATTATAATAAAATAATAAATTATTTTATATTATTTTATACTATCGAGGACCTTTTAAAGGAATGGGGTCTTAAGAAATTTATTCCTGTTTTTAAAGGTAAGTAATTTAAATAATTACTTGGAATTTATCATTATTATTTGCGGACCCTGGTGGATTTATGCAGCACACATTAACATTAAGTTAAAATTAACATAAGTATTTTTTAAGTTAGTGAAGTATTTGTATATTTTAGGGTTTCCTATATGTATTTATAAGACTTTTATGCAATAAAGATTAGTGTTTATTCATAAAAAAATTAATTTATTTTTGCTCCCCAATATACCAATATATTGGTATATATATATATATATATATATATATATATATATACAAAATTCTATCATTGCTGCGTCCATACATTTATAAAATCCCTATTCTTATTGCGTCAACGACCTTACTGCGTCAGTATATCTGACGCACTAATGTCAAGCGCTTATTTCTTAAAATTTACTTCATCCCAGCACTTTCTAAGATTCTTGCTAATACAGATCTGTGTAGAATTTAATGCCCAATTTTTTTGTCCAAAAATTTTTTATGTCCGACCCTGCGTTTTTTAAATATTTAGAAAAATTTGAACACAAAAAATGTGCAGTAACATACTAAAAATGGAAAAAATGCGTATATTTAGTTCAACCCATTTGACGATGAGGGCGTTGCGATAATATACGTTTTTCAATATACGTGTTTTTAAATACTGTATGTTGTTGCGTCGCACAATTTGGCAACGTCTCGCCTATGATTTTAATATTTCATCATCATCGTTTTTCTGTTAATTTTACTATTTCACAAATAATAAAAGTTTTTCATGTTTTTAGATAGGTACTTAAAAAAAAGGTTAATATCAATGTAAATAACTGCAATGTGTTTTATGTTATTAACAGGTAATTCAAAAAAAATTTAAAATTGTAAAACATCAATGTTATAAATAAAGGGTGTTTCTACTAAAAATTGACAATCTAAATTAGGCTTTCTAATAAATATTTTTCAATTGAGCTTTTGTTTTTGAATTATCAAACTTTATTTTGAAGTAAAACTTTTTATGTAAGTTATTTATGGGCGGATTAAAAAACAATTAGTTTTTAGTAAATTTTGACATTTTTTCTTTAATATCTTTAGTAGATTTATTACAGTTTTTACACAAAATAACAAAAACATAATACAAATTTGAATGTCTTATAAAAATAATTATTATAATTTTAATTATTGTAATAATAATAATATTTCATCATATTATAATAAAAACATTACTAAACAAAATTAAACATAATAATATCAATAAACAATGCAGTAGCAAGTTAAATAAGTAGTTTCGAAACTCGAATGTTGAGCGGTCTATGGAATGTCACCCCAGGCCCGTTCCTGGGGTGTCTGGCGCCTGCGTGCAGCATTCGTTGGTGCGCCCCTTTTATATTTAAATATAATACATTAAATATTTGAATGTTAAGCCGTAAAATTTAAAAATATATTTTGCGACAAACTGGCAATATGTAATTGAAAATGTAAAAAAACCGCTTAAATTAAGTATAAAAAATATTTATTAAATTACCAAACAAACAAGTAATAACATAAGGGCATCTATTTTTTCCGAAAAAAATCGTAAAAACACGTTGCTAAGTAATATTTTAACAAGAAGCATAAGTGGTGGTGGCAACAAAAATCCGAGTCGAAGACGAGGATTTTTGTACCTGCACGAATGCATTTTGTTAAAAAATATTACTTAGCATTGTGTTTTAACGATTTTTTTCACAGGAAAAGTTAGATTCCCTAATGGTATTTGACAAGACTATTTCATCAGTAACAGTTAACAATTAAAATATAATTTTTGGACAACAGCTGTCAAGTTTTGCCACGGGTAAACTCGAAAAAACTGCTGACAGGTGCTGTCATACAGTTTTTCCACCTAGAAACCATTTGTAGTTCAAAATAGCGCGTTTGTAATTGGTGGAAATTAAGACGAGGGAAATAGTCAGTGATAAAAATACTCTGAAGAAAACAAAAAAAACAATCTAAACAATATATTACTCTCTAAAAATGACTAGTTTTCAAAGTAAAAAAGCAGTCACTAATAACTTTAGTCCACAGCAATTTGTATCCCGGGCATTTAACAGCTTAATATTATCTAAAATTGTTCCCTGAATCCGAAAATACCGTCAAATTATAAAAGTAAAGCAGTTTTTAAGATATAGTCAATACCATGTTATATGGAAAATTTGCTAAATCTTAAAAACGTTCTACTTTTATAACTTTTGACGACATTTTCGGATTCAGCGGACAATTTTACATAGGAGTTGACTGCTAAATATCCGGGATACAAATTTCTATTGACAATAATTATTAGTCGCTGCTTTTTCGACTAATTGAATTAGTAATTTTTGACTAATTCTATTTTAGAGAGTTACTACTGTTAAACTTTGCTACCGTCAACTGCAACTATCAAACAAATACTAAAGATAATATGACCATTTCTCTCCTTTTATTTTGATCCTCATATCAAAACAAAATAAGCAGCCAATATCAAAGCGACAAAAGGCGCTTTATAGCGACCGAAAAAAAGAGCGGCCGACGCAAAAAAGGCAGAAACCTTTATCCAATGTATGTTTAAGTATCATATGCAGGAAAGTTTATCGTTACAAAGTACTGATTGACTCTTTGATTTTGCGCCCCCGAAATGTTGCGCCTGCGTGCGTGCACGCACTGCACGCTCGCCAGGAACGGGCCTGTGTCACCCCGTCCATCATCTCTATGTTCAGGCATAATTAAATACATGTAAATCTTAAAATCAAATAAAACCACACAATGTTAGTTAAAAAAAATTGTCTTAATTTTAAAAACATTCAATCCCCCGGGGGCGTGGCAAAAATTATTTTTAAAAATTAAAAAAAAAACAGCTTGTACAAATACCCTTCTCACAACTTTTTTTTAACTAAGTGAGATTTCCAAAAATAATTATTTCAGTCCAGCCTACCGAATTTCTAATTTATGCCGCGCCCCCGGGGGATTGAATGTTTAAAAAAAAAATTTTAACTTACATTTTGAGTTTGGCATATTGAAAAACTATAAGGTATTAACTCACTTGTAACACAAAAAAAATCTTGTTAATAAATTTTAATTTTAAGCCCCTCCCCAAAGCTTTTAAAGTTCAAATTAAAATATATAAATATTTTTTTGTGTGTCTTAACCCTTAACTACTCGCGCCAATTTTTGTAACATAAGTGGTCGCGCGGTGCCTCAGTGCCACTGAGTGCTCCGCTCCTTAAAATGGCTATATTGCTGAATGTTTTCAATTTTAATATTACTTTTGGTTATATTCCGATGAATAAACTCTATTTCTTAAACAAAATATTTATTAAAAAATAAAACAAAAAGCAAATAACAAAAAAGTTATTACAACTCAGAAAAGAAGAAATCAGAAGGAAATTTAGCCGTTCTTTTTTTAATTGTGTTTTCTTATAAAAATGTATACCTTAAAAACCATTATGTTTTAAATTCCATATTTTGTTGATTTAGAAATATTTTGCATTACAAAAATTGAAGTTTAGTTACGTTTTAGTGAAGTATTTCTAAATCAATCTCAAGTTTTCTGTCCATAACTTTGAAATCAATAGTTTAAACTAAATATGCCGTCGACAGTGCATGGTAGACACATCAGTCATAGGTTACATGGAAACCAATAGTTTTTTAATATGCCAAATTCAAAATTTAACTTAAAAATATTTTTTATTGAATTTTGAGGAATTTCAACCCCCGGGGGCGCGGCTAAATTTGTTTTAAAAAATTTGAAAAAAACAGCTTATTTGTGTAAGTACCCTTCTTACAATGACAATGAACCCTCAAAAAAATAAAAGTTCCCGGGAATTTTTTGAATTTAGTGATTTTTTTATGTTCACGGAAATTTTTGTACTAAAATTGTACACCTTTTTGTGGCCTAGTTTACACAATAGATTTGGTCAATAAGTAGGGAATTAACTTGGAAATTGGTAAAATTAGGGTAATTAGTAGGGAATTAGTGGAATTACTAGGTATTTTTTAAATT